TATCCCTGCTATTTCGAAGTAATTCGTAAAAAACAGTTTGTACGAGTATACATGTAGGAAAGGAGCAAAACCTTGCCACAAAGGCAACCCGGACTGGCCGAACGTACTAAACACAGACAGAAGAGTCAGTTGTTGTGCGACCGCCGAACTAAGAACTTCTTTTCCACTAACGCCATAATTTGTTGTGTTATTAAAATAAGCATTAAAATAAACAAGGAATGTAATTTTATATATATTTGTGTTTCTTTGTCCACATACATATGTAAAGGGTGATTTTTTTTTAGAGCTATAGGAAAGTTTAAAAAAAAAAAAATTTAAAATTCAGAAAAACCCATGAATTATTTATTTGAACCGTTAATATAATGTTTGAAGATTATTTCATGTAAATGATGACCGTGACTGCGCCTACATTTCGACCGGTATCTCACGAATAAAAGCTTCAATGTTGTTCTCCAATGCATCAATTGAAGCGAGCTTGTCTGTACAGACATAAGATTTAACATAGCGCCACAAAAAATAGTATAAAGGCGTTAAATCGCTTGATATAGGCAGCCAAGTGTCCGGTCCCGAACGTCAAATAAAATATTCACCGAGCTCGCCTCTCAAAAAGTCCACTGCTACGCGTGTTGTGTGGCATGTGGCACCGTCTTTTTGAAACCACATGTCATGCAGGTCAAGCTCTTGAATTTTTGACAAAAAAAAGTTTGATATCATCTATCGGTAGCGCTCACCATTCTCAGTTATGTTAACATTCGCATCATCTTTGAAAACGTACGGTCCAATGATGCCACCAGTATATAACACGCACCAAACTGTGACTTTTTCTGGTTGCATTGGTAGCTCTTGCAATCCTTCTGGCTGTTCTTAACTTCAAAATCGACAATTTTGCTTATTTACGCACCCATTAAACCTAAAATGAGCTTCGTTGCTGAACACAATTTTTTTTGTTTGGACTTTCTCAACAGAGCACGCATTTCAAACATATATTCCTTTATACATACATACCGGTAGAAATATAGGAAAATAGATATCTATGTTCTGAATATGAAGATAATGATCTCAGGAAAAAAGCCATTTTAGTTCCAAATACCTGCAAACTGATCTCAAAAAGGATTTTTTGCTTAAGATCCCAACAAATCCATATACCAACATAGACAAATAGTTATTTATATTCCAAATATCAAGCGCATCGCAAGAATGTTTCAATACCCGCCCCACTTCCGAAAGGAAGTGCGATCTATATTCTAAATTCCAAGCAAATCGAATCAAGATTTTTAGTAAAAGATCGATCACAGGTCGTTCAATTGTTCACTATGGCAATTTAGTCAAAGAGCTACCAATATACCAAGTTGCATGTAAATCGATTTGAATTTTCCCGGAAAATTGATTCTTACCGCATGCCTATGACGTACGAGTATGTACGTAGAACACACACTCTAAGTTTCAGGTCTCTGCGATCAGTAGTTTAGACTGTGAATTGAGTCACATTGATTTATTGTAGTTATTCAGTGCAAAGCTTCTTATAAATATATTATATAGACTTCAAAAGTTCGTCACAGTTTTAGTAAACATTTGGTTTCTTTAAAATTTTTATGTGTTTCAAAAGGTTAGTTTAATTTTTTTAAGTATAATTTTATAATCAACAAACATGAATATCAAAATGGTTAAAACTAAACACTATCTTATAGGCAAATTTTTAAAGACTAAAAGGCCTATTCTGTCGAGGTAACAAAATTTGCTAAGAAGTTTGCTAGAAACAAATAACCCTTTAATTGGGAAGATAGCGTTTTCATTCAGCTTTTTTATGTCGCTTAGGCTGCTCTCCTAGAGCCAAACGCTCAATTCGGCTCTTTACTGCCAACAACTGGACCGCTTGAAGGCAGCACTCATCCAGAAGAGGCCATCTTTGATCAACAGAGACCGAATTGTGTTCCATCAGGACAACGCCAGGACTGACACGCCTTTGGTGCCGCGCCAGAAGCTCCAGGAGCTCGGATGGGAGATCTTAATGCACCCACCTTATAGTGCCGACCTGGCACCAAGTGATTACCATCTTTTCGTGTCCATGGCGAACGCGCTTAATGGTGAGAAGATGGCCTCAAGAGAGGCCTGTGAAAATTAGATCTCCGAGTTTTTTGGCAATAAGGATGCGCCCCCTTCTGCGAGAGGAATGTAATGTAACAAGCTTACGAATAAAACAGCGCATATTTGACTTAAATTGGAGAACTCTACACAAAGTTATCATATTTTGAAAAATTAATAAATAAAAAACCGACAAACTGTTTACTTGACTTAATATATGCGGAAATCGATTTCTATATATAAATATTGGGTGTTCAAATTTGGAATTTTGATAAATTTTAACGATTTCAAAAATTCTTACTCGTTCATTCATTTATTCATTATAAACTAAGGGGTACACCTAGTGTGAAATTTAAAAAAAAAAACGATATTTTTTCATATTTCGGTAGACTACACCTTTAAAAATAACATATTAAAATTTAACATCGATATCTCAAATAGTTTTTGAGTTATAGCAATTCAAAGAGCAGCCGCTCGGCAGCTAGAGAGTCTCATTAGCTACGAGTAAAAACGATCATTTTATCTTTGAACGCGTTTTTCTCGAAACAGGAATTTCCGAATTCGCTGGAGTGTTTACTCAAAAACAAATGATCCGATCACTATCGAATTTTTTTAAATGTTCTATATATAGTAGTCCGTCTAATGACCTATCGATTTTTTATCTAAACAAAAAATCGAGTTTTGGCAGGACAAAAACGACCGAAATTTTGGGTAAAATTCCACCATTCTTTTTAAATTTTTTTGTCAAATTTATTTTTATCGTAGGTCATTGTACAGACAATATTATATAGTTTAACGATAATTTTTTTTAAATTTCATCCACGAAGAAGGCCGTAATCACTGCAGCAGTGAAGGATCCTTTTTTCGCGCCGTTGGAGATCGACTATAACTTAAAAAATATTTAATTTTTTTCTTCAAAAATTTCACTGTATATTCTTGAAACGTGTACAAATATATTCTTAAAATTTTGAAATAATTGATAAAGTATTTTTTTTTTTAATAAAAAATCCCCAAAAATCACCTTTTTTAGGCCATTACTCTAGGTGTGCCCCTTAATTATAATAATTTGGCATAATACTATTCAGGACATTTTAATTGAAATTGTTATATATGTTTTTGCGGCCGTGCTATTAATTTTTGTTATAAGTTTTTTAATTTTAATTTTTATATTTTTTTTTTTAGTGGGCGATAGCACTGTTTTGTTTGTATGAATTGAATATGAATGAGTAAGAAATTGTTATTAATTTAAAAAAATAACAATGCAAGCTTTAAAATTTCATAGCCAAAATGTTACGTTTAATGTTTTATGGTTAAAATTATGCAAAATTTATTTTAAAATCTTCGGCAACCTACAAAATTGAACCATAACCATAACTTTTGATTCTATAAACCTTGCTGATCTGCGCTCATACTTGCTCTGCTGTATTTTCGGAAACTGATCTGTTCGAACTTAAGCTACTGGCTTCAGTTTCAGTTCAACAAAAAAACCTTATAAGTCTATAAATATTAAAAATTTTTCAAAACAGTTCAAGATGAAAATTTGATTTGGGTGTAATATATTGACAAATATAATAAATAATACGTATGATAAATATTGTATGTGTTTTACTTACGAAAATTTATGAACTACTGAAATAGTTTACGTACCTGAAAATAAAAAAAACAACAAATCGTTATTAAATAAATTTTATGAACGGAAGTTAAAAACGTTAAAGGCTTAATATTAATTTCATATTTTTTAATTAATGGTAAAGGAGTTAATATTTTTTCCTTTTTCGGCAATTAAGTCTTAGAACAAAAGATACGGAAAGACTTTTAAATCCCACTACAGAGAAGTTTGATGGGATTATTTATCAACAAATGAAACTTCTTTTTTGCCATTTTCTGGACGCCAACAAATATTACTGTTATTACACAATACAGCATATCTCTCTCTTGTTTTTCGTCCTTGCTCTGTGTCTCTTGCTTAGCATTTAAACATGTGATGCTCAATAAACGAAACATTTTGTTAATGAAAAAAAATAAAGTCAGTGAAAGAATTTTGTTCCGTTTCGTCGTCGTCATGTTGTCAAAACGAAATGAAACGGTTAAATAGCTAACGTTACTTTGAAAGTGAACGAACTGCTTTTAATGGAACAAATGATGATCTCTTAAAGTACTATTCTTCTGTCATAAAAAAATAGTCGGCGCATTACGGCTTGGTAATTCGGTATGGTGAATACCGCCAGACGATGGAGCAAGTACGAGTTACACGATGGCTTCGATATCGTACAGAGAATGAAAAGACAGCGGCTTCGCTGGCTAGCTGATGTCGTTCGAATGATTGAAAGCGCGCCAGCTTTAAAAGTATTCGATGCAGTGCTTACCAAGGGAAGAAGAAGAAGAAGAGGAATATCTCCAATCCAAGAGTGAAATGTATTTTCAACAGCCGTCAAACAGCGAAGAGAAGAATCGTATGACGTGCTATAGTTTATTCGGCTATAATCGTTTGAGCAGTGCCTACACCAAAGAAGAAGAAGAAGAAAATATTCGGCCCTGAATTGAATTGCCAATCACAAATGAGAAAGCGAATTAAGTGTCGCACAAAAATTGTTTCGCGGAACAATCATTTCTTCAATGATCTTTATGTTCTAGTGATTACCATAACCAGTCGATGACTTTATTTTTTCTATAGTTTCTTAGAATGAGAAAAAATGCTAAGGAAAGCTCTCAAATGCGCTCGAAAGACCTTTGGAAAGCTCCTCCCACGTTGCGAGGTCTGCATTCAAAACTCAAAATACTCAAGATCTAAATCTATTTATACATTATATTTACAGTCATAAAAGGTTATGTAGTTTTTTTTATTATATTTTAATAAACTATTAATCACATACATAAATCATCAAAGCTATTAGCTTTTAATAGCTTTTTAAATCAAGTATGGCTCATTGAGAAATTCATTTATTTTTAAATATGATTGTTTTGCAAAAATCATCGGCGAGCTGATGTCACTTTAACAATAATGGAAATAATATCGATGTTACCATGAAACAACTTTAATTTGTCATCTCGGTCTGCGTAGACTCCATTGTAGCTAACAATTCGCTAACTCTTACTATAACCGTCGTTTTGTCGTTTTAATTAGCTTTCATTGTAGACAATTGGCAATTGGCAATCGACAGTTAGTGACTAACTAATGACTGCTCTCTACAATGAAGAAGAAAACACACATCATTTATGAATATTATTTTTGGGCGACTACAAATGTATTCATATAAATGGGTTTGTGTAGCTCCATTCACTGTTTAACCTTTCTAAATAGTAAAAAATATAATATAAAAAATTACACACATATACAAACAAATAGCAAATGGTTTAAATACATACGTATATACTACTATCTACATATTTTCAAATTCAATATTCATAATATTAACTATTATACCAACTCATCGCCCCCACTCCTTCCTACTCCTCTCCCCAAAATGTCGCCTACACTTATTTTGCTTTGTTTGCATTTTTGCTTTCTTTCCAAAGCAAATCCATTGATTGTTCGCTAGCTCATTTGTTAATTGTTTGAATTGTTTTTGCTTTATATTATTGCATATATTGTTGGAATTGTTTGACAGCTGTGATAACAGTAATTTATGCATCCTGCTTGCCACTTGCCAGACATATACAATAACCATACATTCATTCTCTTGCATGAGTGCTTCGGTATCGGAGATCGCAGCGATACATGGTCTTAAATATAATTATAGATACTACTTATATAAATGTATATGTATATACATACATATATACAGATATGTGTGAACTTGATGGCCACTACTGAATGGACAATGGCGGGGCTTTTATTTCATATCAAAAATGTCCTCGAAAGTCTTGACATCTATAGAGCACCTTTTACATATGTATCTCTATATATAAAAGTAAATAAGAGTATATTTATATAAATTTATAAATATTTTATTTTCATTAATATTTAATTTTATTTATTTGAAAATGAAAATATTTGAAACTAAAAATTCAGTAACATAGAAACTGAGAAATTGAAAATAACAAAGTTAGAAATGTTAAAGTAGAATCCTACAACATCCCCTGCCGAGTGGGTAAATGTTTTTTCTTTAATTTTGGACGACCCTTGCAAGCAATAATTGAAAGCTTTTTTTTTGAAATTTTATTGTAACCCTTACATTTTCATAGCGTTGGTCGTAAGTTAACCTTTCAACCGATTAAGAGAGGCGAATAAAAAAAGCATCCGGCAAATCAAAAAAAACAAGTCAATATTTTATTGATGTTTAAGCGAGTCCCAACCTTGGCCTGGCATCCCGTTCATAAGTGCAATTCTCAAGTGGACACTAAAATGCAAAGCTAGGTGTGTTTACCACATATTCGAAAGCTTGTATTATTGCTTGCTTAAATGTTTGCCAGCCCCAAAAAGGTTTACGAAACAACTTGGAGATTTCTCACTCACTCCTACGATTTTGGAGAGCCACAGTGTTCAATAAATTCTCCATAAAATACGAGGAGAATGGTTGTCCCTTAACAACCTCATGCACATACTTCTCATGAGGAGCTCAACACACAAGCTCGACTCAATAAATAGCACTTTCCGAGCTCTTCTAAAAGCCAAAGCACACTATGAATAAATCGTATTATAACATCAGCAACCTAAACATCCTCTACTAACCTTATCTCAAGCTTAAATTATGAATATCAAGTAAATATGTATTCCCTGATAGTTTCAATGCCAAGTGAGAACTGGTAACTAATGTTTTCTTCCATTTATGTTATTAAGAGATCCCAAGTAACTCTCTTTGGCAAATTAGTAATCCATAAACCCAGTGCAGAAATACTTAATATACATATTAAAAATTGCTTATTAACGGACTCCAACTTATCGCTATGAATTTTTCCTTACGGTTGTGCGCAGCGAGAAAGATGACGAGTATTTCAATATAGTAATATAGGACTATGGATGTTTAAACTGCTTAGCCAGCCTTGGATGAAAGAATTGTAACACTCAAATCAGAAAAGTAATCTGGTTGTGTATAAAGTATTCGTCCTTATCAAAGACCAGTTGAATTTTGAGAGTGTTTTTTCGTATGTGATGTAGGCATCCAGCCAAAAAGCATTTACCAAAATTTCATCCCTTTTTTGTGTCAGCGCCATGTAACAATGTTTATGAGCAATGATTTCCGAAATTACTGAACCAATTTCGATAGAATGTGGCGTTCAGTAGTAATTTTTTTCCAGCTGTCTTATCAATGTTAACTCTTTGGATTAATTTTATGATAGTATTTTGAGTTAACCCCACAACTTTCAGCTGGGTGCGAATTTTTATAACTTCAGTCCTTTTTTTTTTTTTAACTTGACTTTAAATAATAAATAATATTGAATGAGAAAATTGATAATTTAATATGGCATCAAAAATGTTGGTAGTCGAATTAATAAGCCGTATGAGTAAGTTTAGAATAAAAAGATTGAAAGGAGACGTTCGTTGAGTACCGAACTAATGTGGTTTGTGGAATAAATATGCTGCCAAACTTATGGTTTAAAAAAGTCAGGGATAATAATGCATAAAACCTAACAAATTTGCCAGAAAAATCAATCGAAAAGCCCGTAAAATCGATTTCTAATGGACAAAATAGAAGTTTTTATGACTAAAAAATATTTAATTTTAGCATTTACGCAAATTATTAATAAGCAAATGTGTCATTACATAGCACGTAAAAAAATATTCTGAAATATTTTTAGTAAAAACTCGTAATAAATTATTCTTCAGTGTCACTTTACTTAAACTAATTGCAGATAGGCTCCGAAGTTTTTTAAAAAATTTTTAAATTTGATGATATTATTATTTAAATATATTGAATCACCTGAAAAAAACCTATTAATAATAACTTTCAAAGGTAGCTGTAAAATCAGTTAAATTCAAGTGCTTTTTCGAACACTCAGCATTTTGTTTTTGTTTTTCTTCTAAAGGCATGTGGGTGCACTACAGTTCGTTTGTCCCGAAAAATTAAGTCATAATTAAATTGGAAAAAATAAAAATAAAATAACTCGCAAAGCATGATAAACAAATTAAAATCAATATATAATATAAATACATATATACATAAATACATACATACATACATAGTTGTGTACAAAACAATTAGAGAAGCGACAACCTCATTATTTTCATCTTCCGTTTTGACATTTGGTGCTATTTGGTATGTACATACATACATACATTTGAATATATGCATATGAATATTTTTAAGTTTTTTTGTTGCCATTTCGATTGAGTAGTTGTGAGTTACTGTTGTTGCTAAGTTGGGGTTCATTTACGCATTAGTAGAGAGTGTTTTGCGAAAGTTGCTCATACGCCATATACGCCACTCACTCAAGTTTACGTTCGTATGTATGTATTTGCGTTTTAACACCACTAATTTATAACACGAGCTCATTGTCAAAAAAAATTGAAAAAAATACATAACAATAATAAATAAATACATAAAAATAGAGTCTGAAATACATGCAAAAAAAAAAATATATTTAAAACAACATTTTCTAATATTTTCCTTTTTCCGTAGGTATTTGTTATTATGTTTTGTTTTCTACTACCAGTAGTAAATAAATATTTCATATTCATTTTTATCGCCCGCTTTTTTTTACTTGCATGGTTCTCTTATCACTTTTTTGCTTGAAAAGCAATTTTATTGTGCTGTCTTTTCATCATATTTCTAATATTTATTATTGTCATTTTTTGTTGTTGTACGCTACTCTCGGCAATGTTTGAGTGCAATAATTTCGCTTTTTCTACATACACATACGTGTATGTATGTATGTATATAAATAATGGCACCTAGTATGTTTATAGACTCATTTGGGCTGCACATACGTGTATGTAAGCAAACAAATATGTTAATATACACATACGTACATATATATGTATGTAGAGTGTGTGTTATTATTATAATATGAATTGGTGCCTCTATTGTCATTAACATTATGTTTGAAACTATTATTTGTTATTTTTGCTTCAGCATTTCTACTATATTCATACGTCTCACCGTGGGGTCGCTATGACATTAAATTAGTTTTGGAAAGTGAAAATGCTTTCACCTTCAATAGTGAAAAAAAATCGCAAAGAAATTAAAAGAAATGAATTTTTATGTATATATTTTTCAATATATATATGTGCATAAGAGCCTGTATGTATTACATATTTGTGAAAGAAGAAGCAACAATTGACATTTTCCCTCTGAATTACTGCATTTTTCCCAATATCTGAAAGGGTTGCCAACTTTTCGAATTTAAATATTTTCTGGTGTAAGCCTCTTCAGCACTCTAAATAATTCAAACTTCAATATACTTTTTAGAGAGCCTGTAATATATTATTTCATTATTTTGTAAGGTTTTTGAATTAAAAACATTGAATAGGTGGCAACTTTCCTTGTTAATTATTTTAATTTAATTGGTTGCACATATTTCAGCATTTAATTTATCTGATCAGATTTTCATTAATACAAATATTTGAAAAGGTGGCATCCTACCTCATACATATAGTCAGTACTTTCTACGTATATTTTTGAAATTATTTTCTGCAGCATGCTTTTTTGAAATTTTATGGTTCGATACTCATAGTGGAATGCTAAACTGATTACATCACTTATAGTTTAAAACATATATTTAGCACAAGCTGGCAGGGAATAATAATATTATATTGTACAATATTATAATAAAATTATAAAATAATGTAGTAATAATTAGGAATATTGAACTCTCATAAATATATTTACTCAGTGGCTCATATCTTAATGCTTTCTATTTGTTTTTTTAATTCACCTTTTAATAGGTGGCAAGTCTAATTAAAAAAATCATTTATATTTTATAAATTCTATACTTGTTGTATAGCTATATTTTGATGCCCGCATTATGATATTTAATATATTTGAGTAACATTTTTGAAAAGGTGGCATCCTACCTCATACATATAGTCAGTACTTTCTACGTATATTTTTGAAATTATTTTCTGCAGCATGCTTTTTTGAAATTTTATGGTTCGATACTCATAGTGGAATGCTAAACTGATTACATCACTTATAGTTTAAAACATATATTTAGCACAAGCTGGCAGGGAATAATAATATTATATTGTACAATATTATAATAAAATTATAAAATAATGTAGTAATAATTAGGAATATTGAACTCTCATAAATATATTTACTCAGTGGCTCATATCTTAATGCTTTCTATTTGTTTTTTTAATTCACCTTTTAATAGGTGGCAAGTCTAATTAAAAAAATCATTTATATTTTATAAATTCTATACTTGTTGTATAGCTATATTTTGATGCCCGCATTATGATATTTAATATATTTGAGTAACATTTTTGAAAAGGTGGCAACACTGAACAAAATTATTTCCTCCCTAAGCCTTTCTACTCTACTCAGTTTTCATCTCTGTTGCATTTCATTTTCTCATAACTTTGATTTACTTCAAATTTTCCAATAAGTGGCAACTCTAAATTTTGAGATGCTAAAAAATAAAAAAAAAATTAAAAAATGGGTTTAAAAGTGAGAGAACCCCCTGAGAGTTATATTAGTTATTATTATTTGTGTACACTAATTCTTTTCGGTTGCAACTTAAGAAGTTAAACTTTTCTAATATTAGATATTTTTTTAATGTATTTTAGTGCTTAAAACTTTTTTTTACTGCTTAAACACCAAACTGCATTATAACAACAAAATTGCGCATTAAATACATTTCCCACTTTAAACACGTACATAGAAGCATTTCGTAAGCCTTACTAAGTCTTGGCAGCAGCGTCGAGGAAAATTTTATTAAAAAAAATCTTATTTTGTATTTTCATTTCGCAAGCTGTAAAGTGCAAAGAGTGTATTTTTGCAGTTTTGTGCAACGGGATGCATTCATTTAACAGTGTTAAGCGGCACACACACACATCTCAA